CAGACAAAATCTGCAATGCATCTTAAATATGTATAATTATATTTTTAGATTATCAACTATATTTTATCTGTTTTAAATGTGTTTTAATATTTGAACTATACATTTAGATATTTTGAGACTTATGATTTTAATTTATTTAAACATATATTCAAAATCTAAAGAGTTTTAAAAACTACCTTTTATAAGTTCATAAGTTTGGGGTTTGTAATATGTTTTAATGTTTTTGAAAGAAAACTCTTCTGCTCTTCTGCTCACCAAGGCTGCATTTATTTGATCAAAAATACAATACAAATTGTGAAATATTACTACATTTTAAAATTAGTTTTCTATGTGAATATCTGTTAAACTGTAATGTATTTCTGTGATCAAAGCTGTATTTTCAGCATCATTACTCCAGTCTTCAGTGTCACATGATCTTCAGAAATCATTCTAATATGCTGATTTGCTGCTCAAGAAACATTTCTGATTATCATCAATGTTGAAAACAGTTGTGCTGCACAATATTTTTGTGGAAGCTGTGATACATTTTTTTTATTTGAAATAGAATCTTTTGTAACTATATACTGTATATATATATATATATATATATACCATACATATTATACATCATCATTTGTAAGTCACTTTGGATAAAAGTGTCTGCTAAATGACTAAATGTAAACGTAAATATGTATGTATGTGTGTATGTACAGTATCTCGCTCTCTCTCTCTCTATATATATATATATATATATATATTTGCAGCTTCGAGCAGATCTCTCAGTAGCTCTCAGGTTCTTCTGCGCCTGAGGTTTCATCTGTGCTGCCTGAAGCGTTCCCTCGTCTTCCTCTTCTGTAATTCCCTCTGTCTCTCTGTCACTCCATCATTAAACGTGTTGCATCTTTAAATGTGAGGCAGTAACAGCTTTAACGAATGCATGGCATCAGACTGATTTCATAAAGGGCTTCAGGATAGGTTTATGAGCCGACAGGAGCTGGACTTCAGCATCAGGATTCTCTGAGAGCTGCAGCCATACATAATTCATCATCTTCATTCTGAGCTTGACATGAGAGACAGACAGACAGGAGTGAAGCGTGGGAACAGAAGCGGTCCTGAGCCGCAGCCCTGGGGTCGAGGTGTGAGACGTACCTGGAGAAACCCAGGGCTGATGGGAGATTTTTACCTCTTTGCGCTTGTGAGAGAATAATGTATGAACACTGTCACTGTCGAGAGATCTGACCGGATAAAAGACCATCACTTTACCCAATGAGAAGAAAAGCTTCCTCTTCTGCTGCAGGAGAGAGACGAGTTCAGCTGAAGTATAATGTTGTCATTTACTCAAAAATACTGAAACCTGAACTAATACTGAAAATATTAACCGAAAGATCAGTTTTTATTATTGAAATCAGGTGTGTCAGAATCAGAATGAGTAGTTTGTGCATTAAAAATGTCCGTTAAAACCAGCACATGCTAAACAATGTTCACTAACCCAGCGAAACTTTTTAACTGGATTGGCGTTTATTGTCTTTAGCATGCTGTGTAAAGTATTTCACTCAGTTCCCTGATCATTTTGATTCAGTTTCAGTGAGTGAAGAGCAAATTGACACTCACTCGCGCAGTGTTGGGTATAGCAACTGATTATATGTAATCTGGATTACGTCCAAAAATGAAGTACTTGTAATTAGATTATATTACATTTTAAAATACTCAAAATCAGATTGCGGTTAGACTCAGAAAGTCTTTACGTTTTATGTACATTCACTTAGAAACCAGTCATTAGTCAGGTGGCTATAATTACACAGAAAACTGAGACCCACACATTTCAGATCATTTTGATTTTAAAAAGTGTTTTCTCAGCATTTCAACATCGCATCAACTACTGATGAGCACATTATTATTTTTTTTAATTATCACTCGGTAAGTAATTTAACCATGTATTATATATCTTTGGAAGCATTTTGTCTTTCAAATGCATTAAAATGCACAAATTCATGTTATTTCTGGATTTATATGTAATGCATGGATTCACAAACTTTTTTTTGTCAGCCGAATCTTTCACCTAATATATTTACTTGAAGTGCCCCTGAGATTTTAGGGTTAATTTAGGGTTGATTTTAGTTAATAATTAGCACATTTTCATGTCCATGGTTCTCTGACGTTGGTTAATGGTTACATGACATGCAGGTAAACAAAATATTATTTTTTTTAGTAAGTGTACACACACACACTCACACTCACTCTCTCTCACACACACACACACACACACACACACACACACACACACACACACACAC